CCCAAGCCACACTCCTGGCCCTTCAGGCTGTCTCCACGCAGCCAAGCCAAGTCCTCTTCCCAGGTCTGTCCACTGAAGCCCAAGTTTCACTACCCAGTTGCTGCGCACTTCAGGCACGTGTCTCTGGCTAGGAAGTGCAGCGACATGGCGGGGACCGTCTATACTGGTCTTCCTTTACCCTGCAGGGCTGCAGACCAGCTCCCATGCTCTTCTCCCGAGCCTCTGAAGCTCCCTATCTGTCCCAGCAGACCTCCCAGCTGGTGAAGGAGGTTCCCAGGGTGAGGGGACCTTTCCTTTTTCACAGCTCCCTACCAGGGGCGTAGGTCTCATCCCAATTCCTCTTCTTCTCCCTGTTCCCTTTGTCTTCCCCAGTTATGTGGGGATCTTTCTTTCAGCTCTGGTTGTATAGGATCTTCAAGCTTTCAGTAGGTATTCTCTGAGAATTGTTCTACGAGTAGATGTATTTTTGTTGTATTTGTGGGAGGAGGTGAGCTCCATGTCTCTCTGCCATTTTGATCGCCTCCTCTAGGATGATTTTTATTCCTATCTCATTTTTCACATTTTTAGCTACTGATAGATAAATTGACCCAGAAACAAATGATCTCAGTTTGAAATGGGAGGGGAAGGAATGTTGCATAAATCTGTATGTTTTGGATAGTGTACATCTGTATTGTATTAAGACAACCTATTTTAAAAGTTTTTTTAAAAATTTAATTTATTTTTGGCTGCGTTGGGTCTTCGTTGCTGCTCACAGGCTTTCTCTAGTTGGGGTGAGTGGGAGCTACTCTTTGTTGCGGTGTGTGGGCTTCTCCTTGCAGTGGCTTCTCTTGTTGCGGAGCACAGGCTCTAGGTGCGTGGGCTTCAGTAGTTGTGGCTCTCGGGCTCTAGAGCACAGGCTCAGTAGTTGTGCACATGGGCTTAGTTGCTCCGTGGCATGTGGGATCTTCCTGGACCAGGCCTCCAACCTGTGTCCCTTGCATCAGCAGGCGGATTCTTAACCACTGCGCCACCAGGGAAGTCCCTAAAAAGCTATCTTAGATTTGTTTATCCGAAGGATTTCTTTTCATTTTAATAGTTAAATCTCAGAACCATAATTGGTTTAATAATTTTTCACTAGTGCCTTTAACATGTGGGTTGCTTCACAATATTCTTATAGATAGTAGTAGTGTGCATTTTTATAACCCTGTTTACAAACCCCAGCACTTGGTGTATCCCTAAAACTTCCTCAGTTTCTTGTAAACTAGCTCTCATCTCTAATAGTTATTGACCATATTGAATCCAAAAAGCATCACAGCAGTTGGAGTTACTTGAAGGTATTATACTGCAAGTTGCGGTGAAGTATAAGTCTTTCAAGGAGCACATAACAAAACTTTTTCAACCCTGGTTCATTTGTTGATTGTCTTCCAGTATTTATATAGGACTGGGCTGGGTGCTGTGGGTTAAAGCATGGTGTCTGCCCTCAAAAATTAACTATAGTTGACGGAAGAAAGTGGATATAAATAAATAGTTAAATATTTGTATTCCCCATTTATTTTGTTTTCATTTTTGTTTTTGCGGTACGCGGGCCTCTCACTGTTGTGGCCTCTCCCCTTGCGGAGCACAGGCTCCGGACACGCAGGTTCAGCGGCCATGGCTCACGGGCCCAGCCGCTCCGCAGCATGTGGGATCTTCCCAGATCGGGGCACGAACCCATGTCCCCTGCATCGGCAGGCGGACTCTAAACCACTGTGCCACCAGGGAAGCCCTGTATTCCCCATTTATAAAAACACAGTATATTACTGGAAATCATACTTTATAGTGCATAGGGACTTCCCTGGTGGCGCAGTGGTTAAGAATCCGCCTGCCAGTGCAGAGGACATGGGTTCAATCCCAGGTCTGGGAAGATCCCACATGCCATGGAGCTACTGAACCATGAGCCACAACTACTGAATCCCGTGCGCCTAGAGCCCGTGTTCCGCAGCAAGAGAAGCCACCGCAGTGAGAAGCCCATGCACCGCAACGAAGAGTAGCCCCCACTCAACACAACTAGAGAAGCCCGCGTGCAGCAGCAAAGACCCCATGCAGCCAAAAATAAATAATAAATAATTTAAATAAATAAAATGCATAATCTTGAAACAAGTTGTGTTTTCTATTAGAACATGATGAGTTAGTTAGATACCAGGGTAAGTGCAAGTAAGAAATCACATATGACTTGCAGGTTTTGAGTATAGATCCTAGAGAAATAGGAAATATGGAGAGAGGGACATCTTTCTTCTTCAGGCTGTTTTTTAGAGCAGTTTCAAGTTCACGGCAAAATAGAGGGAAAGGTAGAGAGATTTCCCATATCTTGCTCCACACATACCAGGGGGATCTTCTTGGCAAAGATAATGATTGTTTTTTTTGGCATAGTATTTTGGAGAAAGAGTAATGCTGTTGACTTTCTTGCTACTATGCATTTTCTCATAGTTTTACTTACACAAAGGCAGTGTTTTATTCATTTTTAATTAACAAGCTCCTAGCTAAGTGCCTAATATATATAGTAGATACTTAGGGCATTTTTAGTGAATTCCAGCCTTTGTTACACACCCGTATTTCCTTCTTTGTTGCTTTTTCCCTTTCATCATTGAGAATTTGGTTGGATCATTGTATCAGTTAGGGTAAGATTCAGGTACAGGGACCAGCAAGCAGTTCCAAATAACAGTGGCTTAAATGAACTACAAGTTTGTTTTCCTTTCCCATAAAAGTCCAGGTGGATGGTCATGGAACTTTGTGTTGTCAGGAAGTCAGGATACTTCTCTCTTATTGCTTGCATGTGTGACCTCCTTGTTCTAGAGGGTAGAGTGAGAAGAAAAGGAGGCTAAGCACCACACCCTGAGTAATTCAAGTGTTTAATCCAATGTATCAACAGGAATATTTGTCAGGAAAGAATAGAAAAACATTGAGGCAAAACCTCTATGCAATCTTTAACTAGTAGGACATATTGTAGTTGTTACATTTCTTATCCGCCATAAGATTATAACCTTCTTGGTGACAGACACTTATTTTAATAATCACTTTATACTCTCAGCAGAGTGCCAAGCCAGTAAGTAGTTGTTTAATAATTATTTGTTGAATAGATTAATGAATGAAAGAAAAAGTTTGGGAACTGTTGCTGGACACATTTGACTGTGCTTCAGTAGACATTCCAACACCTGTTGGATGACAAACAATCCTCACATAGATGTATGGGCTTAAAAATAGAATTAAATACAGAGTTATTTTGAATTTTTTATTTCTTTTTTTCCTAGACTGGGGGATTTTATTTTATTTTCAGTTAGAATATTTTGAAATATTTCGAGCCCTCATTTGCGTTTAAAATACAGAATTGCCTAATTCAAATAATAGACGATTAAAAAATAAAATAAAAATAAGCAAAATTAACCAGGCATTGAACGCTTCATCTGAATTATCTTTCTTAATTACAACAACCTATGAGATTAGGATTTTACTCATAAAAAGGAAATAGACTGAGAAATTAAGTAACTTTCCCAACCTCACAGCTAGTTAATAAATGATAGAGCTTGCCTTGGGTCAGCATGATTCTAGAGCTGAGCTTTTAACTATATGGTAAATTGAATAGAAAACTAAACTATTTACTAAAATAGTAATTTAGCATATGAATGTGAGTCTTATAAGATAGTGGAGAAAACATTTTAACACTGTATCATTTTTAGCCAAAAAGCAAATAACAGTTGACCCTTGAACAACGTGGGTTTGAACTGTGTGGATTCTTTCACTAAATACGTACTATAGTACTACACAGTCTGTGTTGGTTCAGTTTGCAGATGTGGAACCCTGGATTTGGAGGGCTAAGTGTAAATTTATGCTCAGATTTTCAACTGCGTAGTGGTCAGTGCCCCTAAACCCCATGTTCAAGGGTCAACTATAAAGTTACGTTTAGGAATCTGGAGGGAAATTTAACAACTTTCCACTTTAGGGCTCCAGACTGGTACCATTCCTGTTTATTACTATTCTGTTGTAGTGGGAAAAGAGCTATATACAAATGAATGGTTGTGGTTGTGTTCCATTAAAACTTTATTTATAAAAATAGGCAGCAGGCCTGTAGACCTTTATCTGCTAACCCCTGGTGTACTATACACCAGATACTATTATAAGTACTTTATATGTATTATTCCATTTAAATGTCTTAACCCAAAGCAGTAGTACTCGTATTATCTCTATATGAGGCAACTGAGCCACAAATAGATTAAATAACTTGTCCAGTATTATATAGCTGTGAAGCGATGGAGCTAAGACATAAACCCAAACAATCTGACTCCAAAGACTGTACTCTCATATTATAGTATACTGCTTCTTTATTGTACTAGAACTTCTTTTTTTTCTGTCAGTGTCATAGAACAGTATATATTTTTTGTTAATTTACATACCTTGTGCCTGGCACCTGTAACTTTTAATAAGAAGTCTAAAAGTAAAGAGGATCAGACTTCCCTGGTGGCGCAGTGGTTAAGAATCCACCTGCCAATGCAGGGGACACAGGTTCAAGCCCTGGACCAGGAAGATCCCACATGCCACGGAGCAGCTAAGCCTGTGTGCCACAACTGCTGAGCCCACACGCCACAACTACTGAAGCCCATGCACCTATAGCCTATGCTCTGCAACAAGAGAAGCCACTGCAATGAGAAGCCTGTGCACCGCAATGAAGAGTAGGCCCCGCTCGCAGCAACTAGAGAAAGCCCGCACACAGCAATGAAGACCCAACACAGCCAAAAATAAATAAATAAACTTTTTTAAAAAGTAAAGAGGATTATTCCTTAACAGAGAAGTTGGTAATTGTTCAGATGTACTTTTAAGTACCTGGAATCCTATAAGGAGAGAAAAAACTATCATGAGGGGAATTAGGTTTACTTTTTAGATTAGTAAGCGTCATTATGTTAATTGTTGGCTCCATGATAAGATTTATCTACAATTTAAATATTGTTTAAATTTACTCTGGCATAAATGTATTTTTTTTTTCTTGTCAGTTTGGATTTAGGTGGCGAGTAGAAAAAGAAGTAATTTCAGGGAAAGGTAATTCTTTTTTTTATTTTAGTTTTTAATCGGATAAGGTTATTTTGTTATATTATTGAAGTCACTGGGTAAGATTATTCCTAATGTATACAATAAGTGATTATCTACAAAATACAAAGTAAAAGTAGAGAAGGTTTATTAATGATATATTGCTAACAAAGTTCAGAATATAATGCTTTAATGGTTTTTACGTTTAGAATTTTTGCTTCTAGGATATTCAATTGCAGATAAGTAGAAAATGTTCAAAGAGTTAAAAGTTTCCTAGGAAGGAAACTATCAACAGATGAATACTTGAATTTTTCTCTATTAATTTTTGGAATAACGTGTTGGTATTACTGTATTCCAGTCAAATCCACATTTTGCAGATAGAAATTAAATATTACTTTGAACCTAATAATTTTTAGACAGGCTAGTTCTTAGGGAGTCACTGAGTTTGAGCCCAAATATTTAGTCTTACAGAAAAAGAACAAGCATTTGGTAGACAATCAGTAAATGCTTTTTCTATGCATTGTAATCTATTCATAAAATTTTTCTGAAAATTTAATATTTCTGTACTGTCTCATGCTATAAAATTAGCTTTGTATTATTGGTGATTGCATTTAAGTGTTAATCTTTATACTGTCTCACGCTATAAAATTAGCTCTTTATTGGTGATTGCATTTTAAGTGTTAATGCTTCTGAAAACTACATAGGAACATTAAGGAAATAATTTTAAACTAAAAACTTTTAAAAATCTTTGAAAATAAAAGTTTCATTTTTAAATGATTAAACATTTATGCTGTCAGTATGGCTCATATACATCTTCCATAAATTAAGATCAGCCCTAAAGGTACTATAGAGGAGAAGGAAAAAGAATAATTTTAAAGCTATTTTAAACTTTTCTTAGCATTACATTTTAGTTTGTGCTTTTACCTAAGACAATGAGAACTGTTGAAATGTCTATCACAATTTTAAAATTTTATACTTCTATTGAATGGAATTTTCAAGTGACAGTAAGTAATGCTGCCTTTAAAAAAAATTGATGGACATTCTCTAAATTCATGTAATTGAAAAAAGTTTTAATTGAGAAGGGGAAAGAAAGCTATTTGCTCTGACTGAATCTTGGTGCTTTTTTAAACAATAGAGCCATTGCTAAACACATACAGATTTAATGAAGTATTTATTTGGAATGAGTGAAACAATGCCAATTTAGAAAAGTTATCAGCCTTTGAACTGGTAATTTTCAAAATTCATTTGACAGTTTCTTTTTTATGAAAAAAAGGCAGTTCCTGTTGTGCAAATTATTGAGATATAAATGCTTTTTTTTAGTTTGTGCAAATAAGTTTGATCTTGTCTTTTTCTGTTGAAGTTAATAATTGTTGAGTAGTTTATTTTTTTTTTCTCTCTTGGATCATCAATATTAGTCCTTTTTTGCATAGGTTTTAATATACAATGGATATGATAATAAGGCATTGATTTTAGTGTCAAGTGATTCTAAAACTTAGAGCGTCAGGTTTGATTACTCATTCTACTTAATCTCGAAATGCTAGTTAAAGTGTGTTTTAAATGTCATTTTATGCTGGTACTTAAATGCCATATTAAAATTTTCAATTTTTATCAATTTTAATATTATTAAATATTGAAAAAGATTGTCCCAGTTATAAGTGCATGTACTTTGGAAAATATACTTATTCTTTTAGGGTATTAGTTAGTACACTTTTCTAGTACTTCCATCTTCCAAAGTGTAAGATTCCCTTACACAGAGTCACTAAAACTCTGTATCTTAATATAAACAGTCAACTTGATAGTCAACTATCTATCAGGTAAAGAATTCTGGAACTGTTTTTTTTTTAAACAGTTCATTCAGCAATTTGATTTGATTGTTGAACATACCACAATTATTGTGGTCAGTTTTTTAATGATTATTTTATAAAGCTAGGAATTTATATATGTATGTCATGTATGTTATGTATGTATGTTGAGTAAATTTCAGAGGTAATACCAGATTGTATAGATAAATGTTGTCACCAACCATCATAGCTAATATTCCTTCCTTTATTTGCAGGCCAGTTTTGCTGTGGAAATAAATGTTGTGATAAAAAAGAAGGCTTAAAGAGTTGGGAAGTTAATTTTGGTTATATTGAGCATGGTGAAAAGAGAAATGCGCTTGTTAAATTAAGTAAGTTGACTTTAGGTGGGGTATGATTGATTTCTTCAAAGTTTATCTAGTAATTTAGATTTTAAAATATATAGGCTAATTTAAGATCCAATTAAAAATTTTTAATGTATCTTCTTGGGAACTCTTTTTTTCTCAGAGCTTCTGAAAGTTGCAAGAGTGACATTAGGGGAAATAGTTCTAATGCCAAAGGTAAACCAGTAATTCGTGAAGTGAAGACCTTTTTCCATTAATTTGAGAATGTCACCAATGCAGAGTGAGATGCAAAGTATCAGAAAAGGCAATATAAAATCTCGCATTAGCTGATAGCCATATTGTTATGGTGTAGACTTTATTGACTGTCAATAAAGAAAAAATTTTAGAAGGGCAGATTTTTCTTGATATTAGTCTTAAAAGCTTAAGATTATAACCCAGAATACAGAAGTTTCTCTTAATATACATGTTTTAGGATCTGTTGCTTATTCTTTTTTTTCTCCTAAGCTAGTCTTTTATGTGTCAGCTTCTTCTCTGCCTCATGTTAACAACCTTCTCTGGTTCCTAAATACATGTGCCCTTAGAGTGTCTGCCCACTCTGGGTAGAAATCAAGGATTTCCCCATATGCTACTTGGTACACACCAATGAAGGTTGGTGTCTGAGTTCTTCCTGGAAGTGCTTATGAGGAAGAGTCAACTAGTGTGAACTGAGATTAAAGCAAAAAAGAGACCACAATAGAGGAACTTTTTTGAAAGTTCTTTTACATTTGAAAACTTAGAGTACTTCAGAGGAAATGACTATACCCACACTGTTGTTATTAGATGTCTTTGATGTGAGATACAATTCTGCCTGTGAAACAGTTTGCTTTTAGAATAACTTGACAGCACCATTTTCTAAAGCAATGGCAGAATATTTTCAATTTCTCAAGCATTCTGATTCAATTTTTATTATATATATACATTTTTTGAGGTGGGAGAGAATCAGATTGTTTTCTTCAGATTATTTGTTTCCCCTCTTACAGTAAAGGAATGTAAAGAAAAATGACAATTTATGATATTAAAAGTAAAGTAGCAGTGCAGTTATTAAAATTTAGCAATTCTGTGCTGTTACTCTTTTTTTTTTTTTTTTTAGGATTATGCCAAGAATGTTCCTTTAAATTAAATTTTCATCACAGGTAATATGATCTTTTAAAATGTGGTTGTTAATTTTAGTACTCTTGGACGTAGTCACCTGAACTGGATGTCTAAAGTAGACTTGAGTGGTTGATGGTTTAATTAGTTGGTTGTATATAAAATCCGCCATTACCATATGACCACATAAACCAGGGAACTGGAAGTTCATCATGCCTAACTCTAGTCAAGCGGTTTTAAATGTGAAGGCCTGTGCAGGGTGGTAGATAGATGCTAGAATTTTTGGTTTGGAATCAGTGTTCAGATACTGTAATATTCTTAGAAACTATATTGTAAAGCAGGTCTTCATAAAGTGATTCCTATGTCTCATTTAAGCATTGTTTTAATTAGAGTTTGTCATTCTTACAAAGGATTATACCTCTATACTCATTTTAGATGTTAAAGTCAGGCTCCTATTGAATGAGCTAGACTGTGTCTGCCATACTGAATGGGGGAGGAGTATCATTGTTCTGCATTGTGCAGTATATATAGATAGTAGGCTTTCCTATATATTCCTCTCAGCTAATCCACTTGCTAGTCTTCTTGGGCAAGCTATGCAACCTCTGTAAGACTCAATTTTATTATCTCTAAAAATGAGTATACTAAGGTTATTGTGGGGATTAAATGAAAATGCATATAAAATGCTTGACACAGTGTCTGGCGTATGTTAAGTCAAGCATAATGAAGTCCCTGGCGTTGCAGATGTTCAGACAAAATCTGTGTAACCTGGCATGATTGTAGTGGTCAAGTTTCATGTCCTGAGTAACACTTGAAAGTCTTAACAGTAAGATTCTGCAACTTTATAAAATGTATATATTAGAATATTAATTTAAAATCAGCTGTGTTCTAAATGAGCCTTATCTAGTATTTTAGCTATTAAAAATAAATAAAAAATTTTAAATTCTTAAAATTAGCAAAGTTTTTAGATTAATTGATTTCCCCTCTCTATCAATGATACTGGAAGATAACAAAGTTTTATTTGACCTTGAGTTTCAAGCTTCATTTCAAGATTGAAATTATTCTTACAAGAGGCAAGAAGTTATTACTGTCTTAAACAGTATTGTAGTATTTGGTGTATCTTAATTTGAAAGGTCTGATAAGCAAGTTTCTTGAAAGTAATCCACTCTGTTGTCTCTTCATCCTCTTTCCCAGTCCCAGTTTCAGCATTATCACCTTTTCCTATTTAGTGTTTCTTTTCTTAACCAATTAAAATCAGTTGTTTGCCAGCTATGGCACTGACAACCTTGTAAACTTGGCCTAGAAGAGATAAAGCTACAGCAGTAAAAGGATAAGTGGTCTAAAGTAGATATATGAGTTAACAGTAAGCTTTTCCATCCTCGTTCTATTATACCTTTGCTGTATTCCTTTATTCTTAAGAGAAGAATTTTCTATTTACTGGTGGTTGAGAACTGTTAGAGTGGTTTTTTCTTGTATGTGTTTTTTCAAAGTGTAGGTAGATATGAATTATGTGGAGGAAAATGAGATTTGATTTTGTAATTTTTTTAGAATGGCTAAATGATAGAATATAGAAAAGAAATGAGTAAAAACCGTGATTTACATTTACTAAGGTTTATACACAGAACTTATAAAAATAATCCTTTGTGTCAGAGTGTTCAGGCTTCATAATCTTACAGAATTGTTTTAATTAATATACTAACCTAAAATATTTACAGACTCATTTAAGGGTTCCTTATTATGTAAACTACATTTTAAAAATGAGTACTTTAACTGATTTGACTTTTTTACCCATTGATTTTTATTTTTTGTAAAATTCAGTTGAAAAAGTTAACTTTATATTGTTCAACATAAAGGAGAAAAGAAGTCAAGTCAAAAAAAAGAAAGGATAAAGCCAGAAAAGATTGTGAAGAATCATCACATAAAAAATCCAGATTATCTTCTGTAGAAGAGTCCTCTAAGAAAAAGGATAAAGGTAAAAGGGAATTAAAATATTTACTCATATTTCTGAACATGAAGTATAATCTGCCATATGTCACAAATGTTGAATTTAATTAGTAAATGCATTTAGAATTCTGTTTTATAGTAGTTGAAAGGAAACTGGTTGGAGAATTTAGATATGAATTTACAGTAACTTACAGGAGTTCCAATAACAAGGTTGGTTTTGATTCATTTTTGGCAGATGGTGTAATATTGCAACAGCATTCTAATTTCTGGATTTGTTACATACAGACTTGTTACCTTGAGCAAGCCACTGAATTTCTTGAGTTTCACTTTCCTCGTGTACATAGTGGTGATATGAATACCTGCTCTCTATACTGCTGGTGCTTATTGTGGAGAATCAAATAAGGATGTGAAAGGCACTTTGAACACTGTAAATCAGTATATAACCTATAAGTCAGTTTAACATTGTAACACTGTGATTTCAATTATCATGGTCTGTGTGATTTTTCTCACTAGCTTATGAGCTTCTTGAAATGATAGAGGTTGATATGTATGTGTCCTCAGAACCTAACATGGTGCTGTGCACATACAATTAGTAAATAACTGTTAAATTCAAATCCAAGTCAACTGCTACTTCTTCCTCAGCAGTCCTTAAGCTAAGCCTTAGTTTTCTCATGTGTAAAATGGTCATGATAATCTTACCTAGTAAGTCATAGGATTTTTCAGAAGTTGAAATGAGATAATGCATGTAAGCAGTTTGCATAGTACTTGGTACATAGTTAGCTATTACGAAGGTTACTGCTAGTTGCTTTTTTAGTCCATAATAAAGTAGAGTCAAATTGACTATAACTTAGAGTGAATTGGACTTAAATTAGGTAGGTAATGGTAGATTGAATTAGATTCCAACCTATGTTAACATAATACTTGAACAGGAGAGGGCTGCCTTGCTCCAGCTATGAAGATCATTAGATATGTTATGTTCTTACATACACTTTTTTCTTCTAACATGTCATGATACATTCAAGTATATGTATTGCCAAGTTTTTGACTTGGTAAAATCGATAGATGTTGAGAGGAAAAATACTGATATTCTATTGTTTATTGAGAAACGGTATTTGAAACAGAATACCTTTTTTGTCTCTAAATCATGTTTCAAATTTCAAAATAAATTTTAATTAAGTGTGAGAATCTCATTTGAGTTTTTAAAAATTTTTATTTATCCTCATGTGCCAGTAAAATATTTAGTGTATTATATCTGAGGATTTTGTAGCATTTACTATTATATAATATATTTATATCATAGTATGATACTATGTTAATCATTGCATATTCCAAATTAAAGAAGAACTAATCCCTGCCTTATAAAAGTTTATTCAGTACCTCCAAAACAGATAATTAGGTAGCTGGATACTCAGGACTAGGGATGGGGTTGCACCCCTCAAATTATAATATATATATGCATGTGATCTTCCTTATAGATGTTTTTCCTTTAGTGTTCTATATTTCGGTAGGTGATACCTCTGTCAACTTAAAAACTAATATCAGAAATCGGGAAATTATCCTTGATGCCTTCTTTTTTTCTCGTTACTTATGTAAATACTATCAGTTTTACCCCCAGGGTATGTATTTCTCATGTTCTCTCTAGTCTAGTTCAAACTACCATGTTTTCTCATCTAGGCTACTACTATATTATCCGTACTGATTCTAACACTGTCTTGTCATCCCACCTCCTTCTCCTTAATCCATTCTCCGTCTAGTAGTGATTTCCTATGTTCTTAGGATATAACCAATATCTGGACAAAGCCCAAAGGCTCTATATGATCCAGCATACAAGGCTTGTTTATCACTACTCTTCACCTTACATTCACACTCCACCCACATAGCCTTTCAGTTTCTAGAAAATGCCAAACTTCTTTCTCTTTAAGGACTGTATAGGTGCTGCTTCCTCTCTAAAACCTCCAGTCCCATCCTAACTCATCCTTCAGATTTAAGCTTAAATGTCACTTCCTCAGGGATCCTTTCCTGACCATGAATCTAAATTAGGACTCCCATTTATAATGCTTTCACAACCTTGGAACTTTTCCTTCATTACACATATGACAGTTACATAAAACACAAGGAGAACAGGGATTCTGTCTGCTGTGTTCATTGCTTTATCCCTAGCACCCCACTAGCACAGGTAAGGCATAAATAATAAAGAATAAGAAAATGAAAGACTTGAAGATTGTTTCAGGGCAACTTCAGAGATAGAAAACCAAAGCAGAGTGGAATTGAGACATCTGTGTCTTATATACTCTTTATTCAGAGCACCTTTCATAGCAGAGAGCACAGGATATAGTTCTTTTTTTCAGCTTCTTTGGTATAAAGCAGAAAATGACAACATCTTAGCAAACTTTTAGGAAAACCATGTAGACCTCTTTAATATCTTCTCATCTGGGATCGATCATCTGGAATTAGGTTGATCTTGATATGATACTTTCTTGCCAGGCCACCTTAATTTGGCCCAGACTTGAATAGTAATTAGTAAATGCTTAATATCGCAGCTGCATTTGGACTGTTGGCATTCCTCAGAACAATTACTTTCTTGATCTTTTTCCTATCTTTTCAGCCTCTCCGCAGCCTCTTGACTATAATTCCTTCTCCATCTTACCCTTGTTGGAATTGCTCAAGGCTCTTACAGAGCTTCTCTTTATTCTCTCTGTTCTCCCTGTGTGATCTCATGAACCCCGATAGCCTTAGGTTACCATCATACAAAATGTTAAATAAGTGGATGGATGGATGGATAATTGGATGGCTAGATAGCTGAATGGATAGAGAGGAAATGTAAGAAAGATCAAAGCTTGACTTTGAGGACCAGTCTGCTTTGGCAGGTGTGAACAGAACAGGGTATTTAGGTAAATTGTCTTGGCAGGAAGTTCAAGATCTTACCCCTCCCACCTCCACCCTGCCCCCAAGCTCAGTTCCTTGGGTAGGCATTTTCTGACACCCTTCACCCCACTCCTCCAGGCAAGATTAGGTCCCTCTTAGCACATTCTGATAGCATCCTGCACTCTCCTTTAGAAATACATATCACTCTTGGAATAATTTTTCTGTGAAGGAAGGGACTCTGTGACTTGTTTAATTCTCTATCCCCAGTTCCTAAGCACAGTGCTTGCCCCACATAGTAGGCATTCAGTAAATGTTAGGTGAGTGAGTCAGTGAAATCAACCAATTTCTCAATGTTGAAAGGAACATCAGAGATCAGCCCTGGAATCATGATCAAAAAGATTTTCTGTGGTTTCACCTTTCAAAATATGGTCCTTTGCATTGTCATCACTTGGGAGCTTGTTAGAAATGCATAATTTCAGACCCTCCAGACCTCCTAAATCAGAGTTGCACTTTAAGTTCCCAGAATGATTCATATGTACAATAAAGGTTAAGATGCACTGCTCTTTATCATGTATTTGTTCTGCTTTAGCTTCAACACCTCCAGGGAAAAGGTACCCATTATCCAAAATACTCCTTTACATTTCAGACAGCTGTAATTGCTAGCAGGTTTCTCTTAACATTTAGCCCAAACGTACAACTTCTTCCTTCTGGTTCCAGTTGTGTCCTTTTTTTAACCTATAGACACTTGGAAGCAGGTATCATTGTTCCTTACATGACAGAGAAGATGACAGAGAAGAATACATTTCTTTTGCCATTGGAAGTTTAGCTATGTTTTTATTTGCTCTCTGATGACTAGGAAATAAGTAGGAGTGAAGAAACAACATAAAGTGGTTGTTGCAGTCCAGGCCTTGGCTTCCTTTGGAATCTTGACCCTGTAGTACTCACACCCTCTTGTCTGGCCTTAAGGGGCCATTCATGCTACAACTTGGGCTAATTATGAGACCTGTCCAGTGAGGTTGGAGGAATTGTTACTCTCCATCTGTTTTCTGTTCTTTTTTGAGTTAGCAGCCTTCAGAAATATTTCCCCTGAGGTCTTACTGCAGGAGATTGTATAATGATGATTTTTTTAGATTACTTTAACAGATCTTCAGTACTTTTTCTGTTTCCCTCACTGGGTAAACCATTGTAGAATTGAAAATGTTTGTTTTATGACATAATTTTTTGTGTGATTTTCAATTACAGAAAATTCTCACCTGTATATGATCTTCAAAAAAGATTAAGAAAGGTTAAAAGATTTTTAAAATTTTTTTTCTTAAAAGATTAAGAATAGGCATTTATTTGTAAACTGCTTTCAGATGTTGAACATCTGTAGATAAAATATTGTTTGTATTGCAGCTAACCTATGAGGGTTTTTTTGGTTTTTTTTGTCCTAGCAACATGAGATTTTTTTTTTTATAGGTGTTCATTATTTTTTATGTTTTGTGCTAGGTATTCCAGGCTGTACAAGAGCATAAAACACCCCTCCCTAAAAGAATCTAACATTTTAATTAGGGAGATAAATCTAAGGAACAGGAAAGATTAGAAGACAGTGAAGTGCTTTCCTGCAAGTCTATACACTAGACTATTGGGAAGAATTCCAGTTATAGCTATAGCTGTTACACCACTGCAAGATGATTCTTGACAAAACAGTGCTGGGTTTTTTGTTTTTGTTTTTCATCACATTCACTCTCAGTGAAATCAGAAAATTCTATCAACAGTATCAAGTTTTTATTTAATAAAAGTATACAGATTCAAGTTATTTACAGTTTAGGTTTCCCACAAACTGTAACTTGTTCTGATGTAAATTTTTGTTGTTGTTTTTGTACTGTGTGAGAAAAATCATAGAAAAAAGAGCAAAAGTGTATTTCTTCCCCATATTAGAACATTTAAAAGTTTATGTCAAGTATAGAAGGGCATAAATTTTTTTTTTTCAGTAAATACAGTGGATAAACATTTTAACTTCACATCATGAAGTGTGAAGGAAGAGAACAAGAGGGATGAAGTTGGGATAGAAAAAGAATTGGGGAGGTGGATTAAAATTTAAGAAATGTTGCTTATGTTGCACAAGACTAAGTGATCTCTTGTCATTTGGTGATTTTGATCGATCAAATTAAATATATGGTT